TTTTTAAAATAATGTAATACATATAAGATCTAACCTTCCCGATGCAGCTACATATTCATAAGATTTCTTGTCGTTAGAAACCTCTCAAATTTTTAATTTATTTCAAATGCAAATGAAGTAAAAAAAGCAATTTTATTAAATTCTGAAATAAACAAATGACATTTGCATTGTTATCTTAATGTCATGTAATTATGACATGGTCTTACATAAAATTTAAACTATTATATAATTTTATAATTTACTTATAATATTGAACTATTGCGCTAATAAATTCTAATATATTCTCTGAGTGAATATTAATCAATTGTTTGATTGAATATTAATATGATTAAAAAAAATTTAATAAAAATGATTAATAAAGATTATTTTAATAATTTCACTATACAATAAAATATTATTAAAGATTTTTCTAATAATATTAATACTCAATCAGTCATTATAGATTAATCGATCAATATTCACTCAAATAATATATTAAAAATTATTAAAGTTTGGCAACTAATTGCGGATTTTATTAGCAAATCAAAGACATTTCATGTAACTGAATAACTTTGTAATATATTGTGCATTTTGGTCAATGACTATTTGTCATCTTTCAGCAGCATCATCATTTAACTTTTATAAAACTTCTGGTTTTTATTAGCAAAAAACTGAATCAAGTATAATTTGACACCATCATAATCATTGAATTGTTTAGCATTCAGAAACAAAAAGTAATTGGAAGATGCAAAGAATTGTATGGTGGATAGAGCAAAATATCCTACCATTCTAATCAATCTCGAATAATATGTGAACAGAAATATGTGGTGTCTATAATGGGTTAAATCACAGTTTCAGAACGCTTTTTTCAAATGCACTTTTTATTTTGTATTGTTTAATGTGTATCAGGATTGAACCTTCGATTGTAATAACAGTTTAAAGTAGACAATTTCTTTTCAATCAATTTCATCTGACGACCAGATCATTTTCAAAGATTCAACTTTGAGTTAAAAATCACCAGAACGAAATTTGGCAAACCCATTTTGGCACAGCCGTTTGTTAAAGCTTCGTTGCCATAAATAGTTAATAACTTTTCATGAGCTTAAAGTGCCTTTTTGCCTTTGCGGAAATAAAAAAAAAAAAAAAAAATCGATTTGATTTTCCATCTTTCAATGAAAACTATGCAATGGATGAAAAATCTATTTCACTGATGGACATCTAAATTGCCTACTATTTCTTAACAAAAGGTAAATTACATCTAAGCCAAATACCGCACTAACTTAGTTGCCAATATCATAAATAAATTATAAAATTCAAAAATAATTTGAAATTTATGTATGTCCGTCTTACAATTGTATGATATGAGGAGAGAACGATGCATTTGTCTTTTCTTGATTTCAGAATTTCATTTACAACATGTTATTTTATTTGTTTCATCAATTTATTCAAGAAATGCTATGAGTCATATGGATGTTGTCATTAAAAATTATGGATTACATTATAAAAGATCCAAAACAAGTCTTAAAAAAATGAATCAAAAATACTACATTCCTCAATTCTTTTTGTTACTTATGTGAACCTTAATAAATTCTAATAATAATTTTACACAGGATACTAATTTCAATATATCCAAATCACATAAGAAAAATAAATCCAAGTTATATTTAGATGTAGGCGTTAGAAACACATGCGCACACATCACTAATATCTCAACAATTCAAATATTTACACATGTCATCAGTTCATAAACTGCACGACTTCCAACACAAAGGCAAAATTAAATAATTTTGTAATAACTCACCGAATAAATAACATAATTAATTAATCAATAATTTTCGTTTTTTTTAATAATTCGTTAACTCGAGTTTTGTGGCCCAACAGCCGTCGATCGTTTACACACTCGTGACTGAGCGGCGAGTCGTGCGCCGTTCTAAGTTTGGAAGAGACTTCGGCTCGGCACCTCGGCAGCTCCTGACGCGACGCAATTGTGCAATGGAAAGGAGGCGCGCGCGAACTGATGGACCGATGGACGTGATGAATTTTAATTTTATAACTGAATCGTGAGAGATTTGTAATCAGAAATCAGGCGACAATATATAATTGATATTGATATTGTCTTGCACTAAGGATCAAATTATAAAGTAACCTAGTTATAAGTAGTATAGCCTTAAGGTAAGTTGCATTATCTTTAGGATGCGTATGCATAAACAATTTAATCAATAAAAATGAAAGAGGTTTAAGTATTTAGGTGAAACATAGGTTCCAACTATTTTTTTCAAAAATAAAATTTTCGCTTTCACTAAAAATTAATCAATGCGATTTCAAATTGATGTCTTTTAAATACTTATACTAGGGCCGATCCTACCTTGAACGCGATTCATGCAAAAAATGCGGGCGCACGCCTTAGGGGGCCGCCAAAACTCAATATATCATTCAAAAAATATATAATTGCTTTGTATGCTGTGGTGTATGGCATCGTGCCTTAAAGCAAATTGCAGAAACTTCCCGTACCGTAATGAAATATTCGAAAAATTTTAAACGTTTTCAAACATATTATTACACATACTGTAACTTTCATTATTTTTGCTATCTTGTTATATCTGAGCAAATCAAATATAAATCATAAATAAATCAATTTATCTCCAGAACATTAACAATCGTCATTTCATTTCGAATTCAATTTCAAAAAAATAGTTGCCTGATTTACACAAAATTGAAAAAGTGCTTCTGTATAGTCACAGTCTAAATGCATTTGCAATAATTCTGTGCGACATTTTCACTCATACTGTGCTTAGCATGGCGGCATTTTCACATTTTTCAATAATTTTCACAAAATCGGAAAAGTGCTACATAAAGTACATAAACAGTCTAAATTAAACGCACTTGGGCAAACATTTGTATCAGAGTGGCGCTTAGACCGTGCTTAGTCTGGGTGTTTATCCAAAATTATAAAAAGGGGGCCCCCAACGAGCGCAACTAAACTTCATTTTTGTACAAATTTTAATAATTTTAACGTAGTTTGCATCTCCTTTTTTTTATCGAGAGGTATTGAACTTCAACTTGTAAGCTATCGCAGTAAGAGAATTTATTTCTGCTGCAATATTTCTGCGAGCTCTAGCAATCAATTTAATTATTTAAGCTTTTCCGCATTCGATAAGTTAACAAATCTATAAAACTAATTCAGATTATACATTCTTCATCGAAAATTAGAATTTGGAATTTTTAAATTTATATTTGTTTATATTTATATTTTATTCGTTTTTTGTTTGTCATTGTTACTACTTGAATTGTCTGCATGACAATATTTTAATAAATGAATAATTAATAAATATGATCAACTAAATCATTTTCAGGTTTCTTTCTTCACTGTTTAAAAATATAAGTTTCTGCTCTGAAACTTTACAACACGCCAGTAATGGCTTAGAAAAAACTAGTATTTTTAATCTAATAATGTAATCTTTTGAATAGACTATGCGAATTAACATATGAAAATTTATTGAAATAGTTTGTTGAAGAAGTACAAATAATTTGCAAAAAAGATGGATTGCAATAACTATTTTACAGAACAGAATACAAAAGATAATGGAGCGTTATTATCACAAGATGAGAAAATTTTAAACCCGAAATCTTATTTTAATGTATACTATTGCTGTTTGGATATATTAATTTCACCAAACAAAAATTTCAAAACCTTTGCGACGTAAGTAGTAACATTTGTCTTTTTGAAATCGAGAATCAATAAACGTTTTCGGAAAACTGAATTACTGTAAAGAAATATTGTAAAATATCTCATATGATCATGATAATTGAGAGTTCTAGAAATAGGTTTGAATACAGAAATCTAAGAAATGTATTTGATTAAGGTACAATGATGGATGCAATAGGCTTGCATCCAGTTTTCCCAACTAAATAACAGTATGCATTTTTTCTTGGCCCTTAATTTCAATTTACAGTTAAAATCGTAACTACTATTTTTTTTTTAAATTAAAACTAATTAAAAATTACGTAAATACTTTAGGACATAAATATCTATCAGACCTGTATGTTCCTAGAGACAATTAAAATTTAAAGATCACTAAATAAGTCAGATTTTCAAAAAAAAAGGTAAGGATTAGAGTGAAAAAATATCTGGAATAATTTTTGAAAAAATCAGAAAATTAGAGAAAATTAGATAGATAAATAATTAGAATGATACATAAATATTCTTTTAATATTATGTATTTCTATATTTTGTGGAAAAACATTTTCTTCTTTAGGGGGCCCCGCCAAAGCACGCTACGCCCATGCCTTACAATCAATAAGAAAAAAGTTTACGACGCAATTTTTGATATTTTATATAATAAAAAATTAAATTGAAAAAATCCAACATGAGTACGAGTGTTACGTTTAATAATGAAAGGCTAGAATTATTTTTTTTGCTCTCCTGACATGATTTGCTCAATAGAATACGAGTAAATCGCATAAGATCCCAAAAATAAGTAAGTAAAATGTTTCAAAACCCAAATATTAATATGACACATGCGTTAGGAAAAATGGAAAATTTAAAAATATTCTTGCAAGCAATATTATATATACTGAAATTTTTAGATGTCGTAAAAAGTTCGGATTGAAAATGAGAATTTTAAAAAAAAAATCGGTTCAACAAAAGTAGGCACGACAATTTGATTTCGCGAATTGCCTTGATCTTCTAAATAAATTTAAAATCAATTTATATTTATGCACTTTTAGATTATATTAAATTAACGTAAATATTTAAATTATTTTAATGATAAACTTTGTTAAAGTTTGGCCGGGAGGGGGGTGGGGTTTCGCTAAGTAAAAAAATGCATGCGGGCGCTGAGGACCCCAGGACAGGCTCCACACTGCAAATGTTGTTGTGTGAATCAAAACACAAAAACGTATTAAAAACCATAAAAAAGCGCGACATCATACACATAAGGGTGTGGTATTGCATAAAGGATGTTGTTTAATACGGCGATCGTTTAAATTATCGCTCCAGGCGTGTAGAGATACATCCATACGGCGTGTAAACAGTTACGTCAAGTGCGTCAAGTCGAATTCTAACCCCACTTTTTGAGGATTTGTTGATGACAGATGCTTAAGTGCGGAATTTGTGAATGTTATTATCAATTAAAATAGAGCGTATTAAATAATAATTTATTTGTAATAAACAATTTGGTTCAGCTTTTAATGAATACATGAGTATGGAATCTTCGAAGAAATTTATAGAATGTTGTATTGAAATGAAAAAGTGAAATGGTAAGTATCAGTTTTAGAATTTATTAATGAACTGAATTATTCAATATTTTTATTGTAAAATTAATTACAGATGGATGAAATGATTCCATTGAAATTGCTTCTGAGAACTGTGACTTGAAAATTTAATTTCTCTTCAGATGCAAAGGTTCTTAGTTTTGAGGTTAGTTTGAGGTTGAAAATGTAATTCTCAATTTGTACGATGTGTCTTAATTAATTTATCATTATATTTTCAGATATGAGGAAAATAGATCAAACAATCAAATTAAAATGAAAGATTTACAGAAATTCATTAAATACATTAAAGGCAGGAATGTATCACAAGTAGAAAATTTATTCAGAATTTACTGAGTGATCGAAGGCCCTAACTGGAAAATAAGGTTCAACGAATAATTGGTATAATAAATAAATTTTCTTCACTCGAACATAGTGAAATGACAATAGTTTTTTTAGTGTTGTACTATATTTTATTTTATTTCATTTTAGGTGTTTTAGAGGTTTTGAATTCAAAAAGTTTAGATGGAAATCTTTTGATAAATACAATATGACATGATTGAAAATCTCACGAATGCATTCTCTATAGAAAGTAAGAATGCGAAAGTAACTTTTATCTCATTTCATTGAAGAAAACAACTACAAATTTGGCAATAAAAAAGTTAATTATTACACTACACATGAAATTATATCTCGAGCTATCATTGTAACGGATGACAAAATTAAGATGGAAATTAATAATCGGATAATAGATTTTGGATGCTACTTTGTATGGCACAGATCTTAACCCCATGCTTATTCAAATGCATTAAAATATATTGAATAGAAGAACAAGACCTGAAAGCATAGAAGCAGAAATTTTAAAGGAAAATTCATAAAAGTGAATAAAAAATGATTAGTGTTAATAAAACTGTAATGAAAATAATAAACAGAGGAGCAAAAGGAAATCATTGATTTGTTGTGCTCTCATACGATGGACCTGTTTTCGGCCAAACTACTATTAATTATCATTATATTGAATTTGAAATATTGGGAACAGTAACAAATAATAAAACTTTAACATTGATGAAATTTGTGCACGCTATATAAAAAAGGCAGATAAACTATTTTAAATACATTTAGATAATTCTTTTCTAGGATTTTTGTTATTAATTATATTTCATGATAAATTTGTTCAATTTTTAGTTACATATAATTAATATTGTCACTAATTTAATTTCAAAAATAATTCATCAAAATTATTGTAACATAAAAAGTAACAATATTGTAATTTTTGTAAAATTCTGATTTTGATTTGGAATATAATAATACATATAACCTTATTATTTTATAATGTCTATTTATTTCAATAAAATATAGTCATTGTGGTACTACAAAAGCGTAGATTGTAATTATTAATATTAAACATTCTTCAAATAAGCATATGGTTAACACCCCACGACGTCGCGTTCTCATGATAACACACCCGTCGGGGCGGTTTCATAGTATCACACCCGATCGGTGTGTTAGTCGAAAACACACCAAAAAGTAGATCAAAAGTGACTACATACAAATATCACCCCTTTTCGTGTTATTGTACGCGACATACGTTTGCAGTGACTTATTATAATATCTGTCTGTAATTATATATTAATTAAATTGAATTGCTTAACACATTTTACGGAACCTATAGATAAAACAAGAGGTTGATAAAAACAACACATTGCATTTGTTATATGACAGAACCTACATTTGATTTATACAAACAGGCATAGATTTTGATTAGAATCGTTTAAGAGCGCCTTTGGTAAATTTCTATAAACCGCTTATCATAAGCCTATAATATTTTACTATGTTATTATTACTATGAAATGTATCGCCATACAAAGTTTCATCAAAATCGTCTAAAAATAATTTAAACATTTAATTACGAAGAAAACTCAAGAAATTACGAAGAAATCGATCTTCGGACTAAAACGATTAGAAACAAAATGATCTGAAACGAGAACAAAAAATTTTACACTTTTCTGCTAATTACAGAAAAACGGCTTGACCGATCGTCACACAAAACTGACTAACGCTGGTCCTTACCGAGTTAAATCGAATGGCTTTTAAATTTTTGAAATCGGTTTTTCCATGAAATGAAATATAAATTATGATTGTTTCTTCTATGCTACGATTCTCGTAGCAGAGTTATAGTAATTGAAAAAAATCGATAATGAAACATTTTGAATATCTTCATGTTTTGAAGGTTTCTGAACATTTTACCATACCTTGGAAAAAAATGGATGTATGTTGTGTGTGTGTGTTTGTAGGTATGTATGTATAGATTTTTTTTTCTTTCACGATTTCGAGAGCACTGATTTTTGGTACAGTTGTTTCGAAGATACGAGGCAAAAAATGGAAATTCAGTTTTTGCATCCGATTAAAATGATTCAAGAAACATTCGATTCGTATTGACAGCGAAATATGCTGATTAGTTTTTGCAAAAAAGTTGGACGGAGCATCTGATTCAAACAATTCAGAAAACATTTTTAAAATATACTTGTATTGACGGAGTGAAAAATGGATTACATTTTCGCGAACGCAAGTACAGAAGTTTGAGTTTCAGGGGGAAAAAATAGCATTTGGTAGTTTGAAATGATTATTATAAATTATTATAATTGATTCATATACATTGATACACAGATGACAGCTGGAAGATAGGGAGATAGACATGTTTACAGGCAAACGTTTAGAGAAGCGGAGAGGTAGAGAGGTACAATATCAAACGCAAGTAAACGGGTGGACAGGTAAGCAGGAACAAGAGTTGATAGGTAGACATTCAAACAGGTAGACAGGTATTAATATAATAATGTTTTCTCGACTGTACCCTCACAGCACAAGTGCGAGTCGAGAGTGACCTGAGGTTCTACTCCGTTGGTCGATCAGTTAACCTCTCGTCGCCCCTCATACCTGTATTTTGGTCAATTTGTGCACCATAATGATCCTAACACGAAAATAGTTCGATCAAGAGGTCAAAATTTAGAACATAAGTTGAAAATAGTTTGATCCTAAGTCAAAATTTGGCATATGGGTTGAAAATAGATAGTAGGTATTTTTTTTTTTGATGAATTAAAGATTCTGAAATTAAAAATATTAAATGAATTAAAAATGCAATTGAAGGTTAAAATTAAATTTATATATTCACAAGAGATATTTTTTTATTTTTTTTTTCTAATAACAATCAGAACATTCGTTATATTCTATGAGCTATTTCGATTGACATTAATGAAATTTAATTATAGATAGTAGTTAACCCAGTGGGGGTACTGTGTGATGAATTTTACTAGATCAAATTAACTGACCATAACTGAACAACGAGTGAATTAGAGTGATTCTCTGATTTTTGATGATGATTACAGTCGACATTGTTTTTATGAAGTCCTTAATATATAACACCTTTAGATAATCATGTAGAGTTTTATTGCTTACGAACCAGGGTGAACCTGTCATCATTCTAAGATAAATGAAAAATGAAAATAACTAAGCTTTACAGTATTTTATAACATATTTAATATAATTGAACATCTAACCTAACTAAAAATGACAAAAGAATACAAGACAATACTATAGTATGAAATTTAGATCATAAAATTCATCTAATTTTTTTTCAAAATCTTTCACAAAAAGGTTTCAACAATTAATTACGAAGAGAAGGACAGCCCGATTTTTAATAGAAACTATAATCTGTACGATTCCCAACTGATATCTATCCGCAGTGGCGTACCTAGAATTTTTGCCGCCCGGGGCGGTCTCCAGATTGCCGCCCTTTCAATTATAAGTCAGCCAAATAGTAGTTTTCATAATTAATACAAATAAGCTAGTGGTGCATGGCATCGTGCCTTAAGGCAAATTGCTGGCACTTCTCGCACCGAAACATAAAATTTTTAAAAAAGATTAAAAATTTTTTGAAATCTGAAAAAAATATATTTTGAGAATTTCGAAATTTTGAAAAAAATGGCTTTTTTTGAAAATTTTTTTTTATATTTTGAATTTTCTTGAAAATTTGTAACTTTTTTTCAAATCAATCGCGCTGCGCAGCTGTTTTGGAGACGAAATATCGAAGCGAAACGGCTAGACATTGATACGGAACCCATAGAAATGTAAATTAAATTTGTTCTTATTATTAAAATCTCTAGAAAATATCAGATAATTTGACGTGGATATGTCTAATGATCATTTTGGACCGCCAAATATGTCATTTTTTTACTTTTTATTTTTGATTCTCCGTAATCGCTAGACCTCTAGACCTGTCATCCCAAAAACAATTCTTTGTTTAGTCAATACAAATAAAATGTTTTTTGAATTACTTAAAACGGACGCTTCGTTCTCTCAAGAACTAAATTACAATTTTTGGCTTTTTTTCCCCGTATCTTTGAAACGGCTAGACCTGCCTTTGCCAAAAAGTAATTAGCACGTCTTATCAGTACGAATCGAATGTTTTGTTCAAATCGGTTCATGCGTGTTACTACAATCATCGACAAAAGTTTGTATCTAAACACACACACACACATCCATTTTTTTCTAAGATATGCCAAAATTCAGAAACCTCTGAAACGTAAAGATATATAAAAATTTTCACTTTCGACATTTTTGCGATTACTATATATAACTTACCCTACGGAAGTTAAAAAATTATTAAGTTATTTAATCAATATTACACAGAGTAATTTTTTTCTGATATATTTTTATGCACTCGTCAACATATTTATATAATGCCCCAAGGCTTTGCAGACTTAGCACACCCCGCCTTCCGCCAGCCCTGATTTTCAAAAAAAAAATTGACAATTCAAGAAAGAAAACTAGTTGGTACTGGTATTTTGCCTTTAGGCAAGTTACATGAACTTCCCGAAATGTGTAAATAATCGACTTAATCAATAAAAAATAAATTAATTTATGAGTGATTAAAAGTATTCCGAGTGGATTTATTACACATCATTGCAAACGAACGAACAAACACGTTATCTCGGAGTATTTTCTAAAAGCAAATTTTCAAATATCAATAGTTTTAATTAATCAATAATTATAATTGAACCAGTTTGACTTTAATGGTTTACTATGTTCAAGACCAAGTACACTATCGTTATGTTATACCAACTAAATCATCTAATTTTATTTTTAACAAACGTCAAAAAAACATTTTCTCTAACTTTGATAAATTTTTAAAATTGAACTACTTGTCGTAAGGCCGTAATAATTCAGTAAGTTCTATAAGGCAATGATATACATCGCCAAAGAAAGTTTCATAAAAATCGGCTTAATTTTTTTTTCAACAGTTAATTACAAGAAAAACGGTTCGGTAGATTTTCACCTAAAATTGATCAGTATCAATCCCAACTAATGTCTTTCGAACAGTTTTTAATTTTTTAAAATCGGTTCGGTAGTATGAGCTTAAATGTGGACGAAAGGTTTAACACTTCTTTCCAAATTACAAAGAAACGGCTCGGCCGACCGTCGACCGACAAAACTGAGAAACGATATGCCTCATCGAGATACATCAAATGGTTTTTAAATTTCTGAAATCGGTTCAGGCGTTTTTGAGAAAACGTCGATCAAAGGTCTAATTTTGACAAATGTCAAAAAGACCATACTAATTTTTGCAAACTTTGACGAATTTTTTAAGCTAAACCAGTCGTCGTAGGACTGTAATATTTTAGTATGATCTAGAAGACTATGGTATCTACCGTCAAAAAAATAATCATAAAAATAATCGAATTTTTTTTTTAAAAACTTTATTAAGAAAACGGCCCGGCCGATCTCTACCAAAAACTAATCAGCACGATTCCCAACTAATATCTTTCGAACGGTTTTTGAATTTTCAAAATCAATTCAGAATTGCAGGCTAAAACGTAGACGAAAAATTTTTCACTTTTCTGCGATTTATAAAGAAACAGCTTGGCCGATCGTCGCACAAATCTGACAAATAATAGTCCTCATCGAGATACATCGAGTGGCTTTAAATTTTTGAAATCGGTCTAGCCGTTTTTGAAAAAACGACGATTTACGACAAAAAATCTGTTCACATACACACACATACTTTTGCCAAATTTGGGCTCATTCGATTCAGAAT